TTCCTGACGGACATTTCGTTTCTATTCTTTTACGTTTTTTTTTCGTTCAAGATCTATGTGTATTGAGTACACATGGTGCGAAGAAATGCGGATTGTAATCCTTGGTACCGATTTGCGCTATGAAATCAGCAAGTCCGAAAAGACCTTGTCTTGAAACTGTCGAGAGGCCTTTATTTTGGGCTTCTCCAATGTCTTTTTCTCGCTTTTTTTTCTCCGCGGGAGATTTACCTGTGATTTACCTAGAGTTCACAAGCTCATCAGGTATGCTATTGTCCACTGCATGCGATCGCGCAAAGTGCCTTAGAGATAAGATGCACACTAACCTACGAGAACGATCCTTGATTTGTGCGTGGTGAATAGGAGCACAACTGCAATAGCGCGCCACTTTCTCCGTTCACAAGTGTACGAGAACGGAAAAGGGGCAGTTATACTCGTATGCTTTGCCACTCCATCCGCGCTATCCTCTGCCTGCAGTTGCAAAACCATTCGCCAAGCACAGGGTAAGGATCGACCATCGTGCAGTGTCTTACGAAACCAGATGTTAACGTGAGCACCATTCGAAGAAAAGTTATTAACTGTCTGTTGGTGACGATTTTTGTGAGTGGATCAAGAGAACTCCCTCTGGTTTCTGACAGATATTTCTTTCAGAGATGAGTTGATGATTGACGATGAAGAAGAGCGTAGTGGCAGCGAGATACGTTTATCACATCGCGCACCGTCGGAAACTGAGCGAGAAACACTCGTCTATCATCCCCATCACTCCCTGACGGACCGAGATATGGATCAGTTCCTCATCGTTGCAAGGTCTGTCAAGTTGAATAAAAAAATTTACAGATTTAAGCATTCATGTTTACAGTGAAGGCTAATTTTCATAACTGGCACAATTTCCTGGAAAAATATATATTTCAGAGCCGTTGGGACGTTCTCACGTGCTCTCGACACTTCCTCATCGACAAAACTGCCATCTCTTCACATGACGGCAGCTGCCGCCTCGCGCGATGTTACCCTTCTGCATGCTATGGCGTTGCTTCATCAAGCTGGTTATGATATTGGTCAGGTAAGCTGAACCCTTACGTTTTCACAGTTGCCTTTGCTTTGCTAACATGTTCTTCTTTATAACAAAGGGGTTCAGGCAGTGAAATATCTCGTTCCGCCACCGAACAAAAATTATTATCCATTAGAAGCGGACAAAGCGACTGGTCACAACACTGTCAGTCTTGGAGGCCCAATTTTATGCAGGTCAGCCTAAAAAATTTCTTCAACCTTAATTTCGCTTTATATCTGTTTCTTCCTGTTTTGAAAAACAATTTATTTTTCGTATTCAAAATAGTTATCTATCCAGAGATCAAATTGAGGAGTGGTCAGCAGCAGAGGCAAATCTTTTTGAAGACGCGCTCGAAAAATATGGGAAGGATTTCTCGGACGTACGGGTCGATTTTGTAAGTCTCGTTATCTACCGCTTTCATAATAGTTGACATTCCATTAAAACGTGTAGCTACCAAGCCTTTATTGTTTTTATCTGGCAGCCATCTATTGTTTTAGCTGCCGTGGAAATCTCCGCGGGACATTGTTGAGTACTATTACATGTGGAAAACCACAAATCGATATGTTGAACAAAAGAAGAAGAAAAACGCAGAGCACGAAAGTAAACTGAAGCAGGTATAGCTCTCTGCTTTTCCCAGTCCTTTAAGAGCTTTCGATTTCTTCGCTTCATGTAGAGATAGTAATGTTTCTTGCTTGCAGGTCTACATTCCGAACCACGCTAAAACTACTGGTCCTCCTGTACGAGGAACGGATCCCTGCGAAGGTTGCAAGGTATGTAACTTACGTAGTTTTTGGCATTTTTTTTTTTTTTTGTTCCCGCGTTTTCTGGTTAGTACTCTTTCATTTTTCTTCAGTAAGAGCAATACTGTTATGAGAGTATTCAGGCTGTGGAAAGCAATATATGGCATGCTTGGGGACCTTCGAATTTACAAGTTGCGTCTTTGTCATGAATGCTGGACATACTGGAAGAAGTACGGTGGATTGAAGGAACGACACGAACATGGTGGGAAAGTACATTTCTGCCGTAGTGTATCCCAATATGAAATCCTCCGACTTACTCCTTTCTATAATGGCAGTTCTCGTGTATCAGAAGGGAGGCCAGAAAGACGTAGTAACGGCAGAATTCAGCAACCGCTTAACGTAGACGGTTCTCAAATCCGAGTAATGTGTCATTACTCTCAAAGACTCGCCTCGTGCTTAAAATTGTGAGCTGT